TTTTTTTTTTTTTTTTTTTAGTATTTATTTTTTGTATTTTATTTTTATTTCAAATTCGGTAAGAAATTTGAACGTAATGCTCAAACAAATCTTGTTTAATTTATTTTTCTTCATAACATATCGTTTTTTCAGATTTTTTTTATTTTTTAATCTGTTTTTTGTGTTTTTATGGGGTTTGTATTCGGCCCGAAAGGCTGAACGCATCCCCAAGGGGTCCCATACGTTCAGGCATTCGGGTTCGGGCGTTCGGCCTGTCCCGAACGCCGGTTACTCTGTATATATATATATATATATATATAGGGTTACCGGCGTTCGGGACGGGCCAAATGCCCGAGTATGAGGTATGAAAGTCACAAGTATGAAAGCATGTACACATGAGACATGTAGTACGTGAAACACGTAGTTCAGGACAAAGCAATTGATTAATTGAAAGAATTACACCCAGTAATTGGCGTCCCCGACGCATTTTGACGGCAGCCACGCCGTCATCATCAGGGGGATTCCACCGGCATTCCCGTACTAACCATTCGAACCGCAAACCCACTTCCGTCCGCTATTCCCACTGGTCTCCGGCCACCGGCAGGTCTAGTGAGAACGTCAGACCTGAAGGGAGGAATCAATTGCAGTGGCGTCCTATATACCTTCCACAAACAAACAAGCCAAAAAAAGAACTCTGGACTATTCTAACAAAGACAAAACATTATTCAACGCATACACATGTTACGGGTTCAAACCCGAAAGTGAAAAAACAAGGTCCTACCCCCCGTATGACAGGGGTAGGCCCAGAACCTGTACCGAAAAGATCAGTCCCGACCCTACTACTACTAAACTTGACAAACCTGCAGAACAAGAAAGCCAATAAAACCACACAGCACTACGCCAAAGTCCCTATCCGAATACCAATACTAACATGCCCGCATGTCCTACGTCTTCTAAAAAACAAGAAACTGCAATCAGACAAACCAAACCAATCAAACGAAACGTGCGCACATGAAAGGCGAAAACAAGACTAGGCCACTACGTCCGGAGAGATTCCACAGTGTACCGCCACACCTGATCTCTTCGAAAGGCAAAGCGGTTCAAAACATTCATGAACAGAACCGCAAGAAAATCCTTTTTCAACAGCTCCTGCTTCAAAGCACGCACATGCCGTGGAATCTTAGAACGACTAGTGGTGTTACGGTCAATCCGGTGCAAGTAGCTACTGATTACAACACATTTCTGCTTCTTACATCCCTACGATAGGTAGGACTGACCACATTGAATCTGAAGGTGTTCATCAGTCCACAAAACATCTTCGTTCTTACACATTTGTACGCAATTAACGAAAGGACAATAGGTTTTTGTGATGATCTAGCAGCCTAAGAAATCGAAGACTCCAGATCCGTCATCAGTACGCTTCAGAGTGAGCTTTGCAGGGTAACAAACTTCAAAAGATTCTTGGAGCGCAGCCTTCTTACTCGCATCCTTAGTGGCCATCACTACCATCACATCATCAATCAATCGGATCCCGTGGATCAGGCGGGTATCCCTCCCGATACTTTGTAAAAACTGGTACTCGGCGAAGGTACAAAGGATGCAAGCTAAGGGTGGGCTGGTTGTTTTGCCCATGGGGATCCCCACAATCTGTTTGAGCAACACCCCGGTAGCATATGTGTAGGTGTGATCGAGCTCCAATTGTACAAAGGCAGCCATTTGTCCGATCCCGTAGTTATTCCAAAGGATGCACCTTTTCCTCTCGAATTCACTCTAATTGCATCCTGTTCTTTCGCAATGTGAAAGTCAAACAGCCAATCAACAACTCTAACAATCTCCTGATGAGGCAAACAGCTGAACATTTCCTTAATGTCGAAGGAAACGGCCGATACATAGTACCTATGATCCAGTCTCAGCAGTTTGCGATTTACATCCGATAACCGACTAGCTAAACAGGACACTGACATGAGGTTAAAGTGCCACTTCTTTGGCAAGGACTGCAAAAGAAAGTTCAGCGCACGACACAACTCTGCCCGTCCGTACCATGGGTTCTTTAAAAGTAGGGCAGATGGGCCGATATCTGTCCAGGTCCTTGTGTTTTGGCAGTACATACGCTGACCCAAACTCCCCCGCCTTGTCCCATCTTGCAAACTTGGCCAACCCTTTCCTTTCAACATCCTCTTTGATCTCCCCAAGGATCTCGCGATCCGACACGTGCATAATCCGATACCCAGAATTCAGAACAAAGGTAGACATCATGGCATTATAGTACAACAACGGGCACATGGTTATGGTCTCACCTGGACTACGGTCCAGGGGAGAGAGCACCAGGCCACGGAGCTTCACACGCAAATCACATACGATCTGGGAAGAAAGGTAGGAATCCGATACATTGGATACAGCAGTCATGCAGCCCTGAAGGTTATCAGCGGAAAAACACGGCAGATCGCCGTTCCAATTCTGCCAGTTACGAAAGTCGTCCTCAATCTCGTGTTTCAACAGGACCAGCCTATCACTTCTGACCACCTTGGGAACATTCCTAGCGTTATGTAGCAGCGGGTGAGTGCCTTCAAGTTCACTAATGCGAAAGCGAACATGTTCGTCTGAGCGAGGGAATAACATACCTGCACAGGTGCAGGTCAGCACCCCATGAGCTGCAAATGCTCGTTGGTTGTGCACAACGTCCGCAACTGAAGGGTTCTTGACCCAAACAATCCAGACCTTCCGTCGCGTTCGATTCAGAAAACACTGTGGCAGATCGCCTAACATTAACGAATCATTCACCACCTTACGAACTTCGGACACCTTAATGCGATCATCAAATCTAATTCTAAAAATAGGATCAGAGTTCAGACTCAGATGAAAACGGTCGCGAAAAACTCGGGAGATCAGCCGACGCAAGTACTTTCTTGTATACTTCTAGAAAAATCTTTGATCGCTCTGTATAGACGCAACAACAAGCGACAGTTCCAGGAGAACACATCACCTAGCTTACGTGGATTCCGTAGGATCTGGATAAGCAAAGATTTCAGATAACGGCACTTGGGTTTCCATTTCCACCAGTGCACGACTTCAAATTCTCCTCCCTTTTGCAAGAGCGACTTAGAATCCTTTAGCCACAAGGTACACCCATCACGCTTAATCTTCGTCTCCCCAAAGGCTTTGCGAACCCTTTTCCAACAGGTATGCCACACATTTCCGCCATCAATGGTAATATGAACTGGTATCCCCTCCTTCTAGCCTGCGTCCAACAAGTGATAAAAGTCAACAACCCAAGGTTCGGTGGCCGATCGTCTCCCCCGGACCACTTTGCACGCCTCGGCAACACCCTGCCCCTGGTTATGTCTCTTTTTCCACTCCCTTCGTCCCGGACGTGCCTTCTTCCCTTTGGTATGAGACGAGGAGGAGCACGCCGAATTCAGGAACGGGGACGAGCGTAGAATGTACACAAGCTCAAGCTTGCCTAGCTCATCACCTTCCAAATGATCGATAGGGAGTAGAAGGTAATTACCTACCTCAAAGTTCAAAAGCCAACGATGGAAGAGGGCAGGGGTACGGGATTTACACACATACACATGTTCCCGCCAACGAGTAGTAACATCCCTGGAAGTTTTTCCGATATATAACGCCTTACAGTAAGGGGAAAGACCCGCATAAACAACGTTCGAAAGATTTGGAGAACCAATACCGTGCTTCTCATAAAGACACAACCAAGATTGTATATACCGTACAGCCCACCTGATTTCCCCATCCAGAGATAGACGAAGAACAATAAGGCGCAATATTTCCTCAACTCTTGAGTCTATACAGGTAGACTGACAACGAACACTCGAAAGATACTTGCACAAGCCCCAAAGGATCAGAATCTCCAAACTACGTTAGTTGCCAACCGGATCCAGAGGCGGTTGCCCAACCTCACTATAATTGACCTCAATACCTCGGGGACATCAAGGGTGTATGGGCCAAACCTTCCGCAGACACGATGGTCCGCTATGGTGAAGATCGCGTAAATCTTACCATCATAAGGCACACCCTCCTCTTTGCAAATACGTTGCAGTTCCGTGGCGTCGAGATTTTTTAGGTCCTTCAGGACAAGGTCCCGGAACCTAAGACGCTTCAGCGCCCTTGTCATTGGCGTCGCGGCCTTCGAAGGCGTCCTCAAGATCTTGGCGAGTGGCGTCTTCACAGGTGTCTTACGCTTAGTGGACCCGGGTGATTTCACCGTCTTCTTCGATCGAGGCAAGCGCCCCGTGAGAGCAGAAGGTCGCAATGCTCCCTGCTTAGGTGCACGCTTCGGTGGAAGCTGCATCGGCGGGCTGTTGTCCACAACTTGCTAAGGGCCTCTCTTCCTCTTCTCAGAAATACATAGTCTCCCTGCCCTCTCACTCATATCTTGAGTCACACTCGTGTCACTTGCTTCGTCAGCATCCGAGTCGCTTCCAGAAGCATACGTCGCCTTCTTCTTTCCCTTCCGAATCAATTCCTTCAGTGGCTCAATCACGCACTGCATCTTAAAGGAGAAGTTCTCCTCCATCTTACTTAGCCGTATCGCCAGGTGGATATCGTTATCCCTCCGAAGCTCGGCCCTTCGCTCAGCCTCTAGTTGAGCCTCCCGACTAGCTTTCTCCAGTTTTTTTCTAGCCTTTCGTTCCGCCTTCTCTTGTTCAGCTTTCTCACGTTCCTTGACCTCCATCCTTTCGAGTTTTTTGCGCGCCTTCTCTTCCTTCTTTTTCATAGCTTCGTCATAAAAGTCCTTCATTAATGCAACGGACTGGCCGAGCTCGGCAACAGTGCTCAACATCTTCCCGTCGCCCGGCGGGGGCGAAACCTCCCACCTTCGGTAGTCCTTCCTACGTGGGGATCTTCCACCACGTGAGTCGCTAGAAGTGGAGGGCTTATCAGAATAGTACCGACGACGATTCTGTTCGGGACTATGATTAGCATAATGCCCCTGCTCGTGGCAGTTGAAACAAGTCGGCGCACGATAACGTCTGCGATCGTCTTCCCTTCGGTCATCTTCACTGCGTCGGTCGTCCCTCCACCGGCTATCCCCTCCACCTCATTCATCAAGTTGCTCGGTCCCTGCCATAACACAGGTACGAGTAGCAGAGCACAGGTGAGGTGCAACTGACAAGTCCACGTACGCAAACTTCACCGGTGGAAGAAGTCACAAGGTCTTGTTCTTCGGCTAACGGCTTCGGCAACACACTTGGAAAAACGTCGATAGCTACTCGCAGGAACCCAGTCGCAAGGAACCCGGCAGGCGACCACTAACGATATCCAACAATCGCTAGTAAACTTCTAGGTGGACAACAGTCACCCAAGTTCTCGATCCAGCAACGTCTTCAACAGCAACTCGGAAAATGCCGAAGTGCAAGAAGTAAGTCCAGTAGTACGTGACATGAATGACACGGTCACTTCAAACCCAACAAACTTCACTCCAGGCGAGTTACCGTGCGCAATACACAGGTATGAAAGTCACAAGTCTGAAAGCATGCACACATGAGACATGTAGTACGTGAAACACGTAGGTGACGCAGATCAGGACAAAGCAATTGATTAATTGAAAGAATTACACCCAGTAATTGGCGTCCCCGACGCGTTTCGACGGCAGCCACGCCGTCATCATAAGGGGGATTCCACCGACATTCCTGTACTCACCATTCGAACCGCAAACCCACTTCCGTTCGCTATTCCCACCGAACTCCGGCCACCGGCAGGTCTAGTGAGAACATCAGACCGGAAGGGAGGAATCAATTGAAGCGGCGTCCTATATACCTTCGACAAACAAACAAGCCAAGAAAAGAACTCTAGGGGACCCTGAACGCCCGAACGTTCGAGGGCCAGCCCGGGGGCCCCCGAACGTTCGGTCAGGTAACCCTGTATATATATATATATATATATTATCATTATTTTTTGAAACTATTTTAGTTGGTTTTGTATTATGTGAAGTACACATCTCTTAATTCTCAGGGCATTTAGCTATGCCAAAAAAAAATGAAAAATCGCCAAAGATGGCGGTGTCGAAAATATGCTCGCGCATTCGCTAAATTTAGTTCTCTTTTTATTTTACTTTATTTTTATTATTAGTATATGTTTGCCGTATTTTATTTTTATTTCAAATTTGGTAAGGAATTCGGATGTGATGCTCAGGCAAATCTTGTTTAATTTATTTTTCTCCATCACATTTTTTTTTCCACCGCCATATTTGGTGATTTTTCATTTGTTTTTCGCATAGCTAAATGCGCTGAAAATTTACAGATGTGTACTTAACATAATACAAAACCCACTAAAAAAGTTCAAAAAAATAATAAAATGTTTTAGACACCGAACTAAAGTGAAAACAAAAAGTAAAAAGTGGAAAAATATGTGGGCGAGCACGTTTTGACACCGCCATCTTTGGCGATTTGTAATTCTTATTTGGATTAGCCAAATGACTTGACAATTTACAGGCACGTACTTCACGTCATAGAGAACTCACAAAAACAAATTCAGTAAAAAATAATTATTTTTAGGCCCCGTAACCATTTTTGGCGGGGGCCGAACGCCGTCGTGTTTGGACCCTGTACGGGACCCCGAACCCCCGTACGTACAGGCTGGTGACCCTATATTTATATATATATTTCCATCTGGTGTGGGTGAGTGATAGTCTACTTTGATTTTGGTTAAGGTAGATTATCATTTACAGTGTAATCAGTGAGGGGATTCTGCAGACTGTTGAGGGTTCAGCCTCCTGATGAGTCAGTGAAACTCCGACGAAACAGTTTGTCACAGCCCCTCGTTTGTTGTCCTCTTCTCCCTCTCTGCCTACGGTTTACCGGGCAGTTCTATTTGATGATATATATATATATATATATATATATATATATATATATCCTCTTCTCTCCCTCTGCCTACGGTTCACCGAGCAGTTCTGTTTGTGACAATATATATATATATATATCATCACAAATGGAACTGCCCGGTAAACTGTAGGTAGGGAGAGAGAAGAGGACAACAAACGAGGGGCTGTGACAAACTGTTTCGTTGGAGTTTCACCGACTCATCAGAAGGCTGAACCCTCAACAGTCTGCAGAATCCCCTCACTGATTACACTGTAAATCATAATCTACCTTAACCAAAATCAAAGTAGACTATCACTTACCCACACCAGATGGAAAACTCTATAGACTGTCGGTTCACACCCCATCACAAGCCAGCAAAACATCCACGAGATAAAGAAAGGTCTGTCACAGCCAAAAAATACAGTCCAGACATGCCACTGGGACTAGAGGCACAGCGTGGACGCCTAGTAACGGCCCCGACCACTGCCGCTCGACCTGACCGGAAAAAAATGTAGCAGGAAGCTAGCAAAGTCATAGTATATATCATCACAAACAAAATTGTCCGGTTAACCGTAGGCAGAGAGAGAGAAGAGGACAACAAACGAGGGGCTGTGACAAACTATTTCGTCGGAGTTTCCCCGACTCATCAGGAGGCTGGACCCTCAACAGTCTGCAGAATCCCCTCACTGATTACACTGTAAATGATAATCTACCTTAACCAAAATCAAAGTAGAATATCACTCACCCACATATATAAATATATATATATATAAGTCGGTGAAACTTCGACGAAAAAGTTTGTCACAACTCCTCGTTTGTTGTGCTCCTCTTGCTCCCTGCCAATGGTTTACCGTGCAGTTCCATTTTATGACCAGTCTACCAGTCGTGTCGCCCTGGTCACCTTATTTTCCCAGACGGGCCGTGCAAGGCTTAGGGAAGGTCACAACAAAAAAAAAACATAAAAGAAAAAAAAAAAAAACACGAAAAATAACTATGTAATGCAGACACATGAGAATGTGAGAATTACGCAGAAGTGCAATACACACATGGCGCAAGTGCGCCCAAACCACACCAAAGCCAAAGTCATACACAGTAACTCGATCGGTATTCCACCGCAAAACAATCCAGAACACCAAAGAGCCGCCGTTCGTCCCGACCATCCCACTGTAGTTGAACCCGTCCACGTCGTCCGGACTTCGCGGAGAGAGGACAACTCCAGAACGTGAGGGAACTACTACGATGACTTTGCTCCTATTAATAGTATTCGACTCACAAAATTACTCCGCTACCAAGGCACTTAGACTAATCTGCCCAAGGGTCTAGTACCGCTAACATCGAACTGCAAAATACTCAGAGGTCCTACTCTCACCGAGAGGCGTACTCCAGTCTGTCAAAAAATACCTACTGGAAATATTCGATGGCCTATGACACCGGTTCGAAAACCCGCCTATAGCTCCTCAACCTATTCGCGCCCAAATAGACCCAATTACAACAGACAACAAAGGTCCAAATTAGTCTCATACATTGCATCCCTCTACACATCCAACTACAGTCCTAGTCAATCTGTTGCTCCTAATATGAGAAGTTGAAAACCTAACCTTAGACACTGATCATACTCAGCGCCGCTGCCCAGGCTTTGTCCGTTGCAACCATAAATCTACGAAGAACTTTCTCAAAAAATTCAAAAGGGAAATCCCACTTGTACAATTTCTTTTGTAGCGTTCGTACCCGCATGGGGATCTCAGACCGGACTGAAGTATTCTGACCAATTTCATGCAAATATTCATTAATTACTGCGTTTTTTCGCCGCTTGCAGCCCCATGACAGATAGGACTTACCATTCTTATGGACCAATGGAACACTGATCCAGGTATAGTCCTCGTTTTTGGACATATGCACGCAGCTCGACATAGGGTAGCTCTGTCGAGCTATAATTTTGCATCCCAAAAATTCAGTTGTCCCTTTTCCGTCGTCGATTTGCTCCAAAACCAAACCCTCGGGGTAGCAATTGCGAAAAGCTTATAATAGCGTATCACGATCCCTCTCCTTTTTCCAGGCCAGAGCAAGAAGGACATCGTCCATCAGACGCATAGTGAAAAGGCCTTTTGCCCGACGCCCCAGATTCCCAATCAGCCGATACTATGCATACTCACATAAAATGCAAGCGAGCAGGGGCTAGTACTTTTCCCCATAGGGATATCCACCTCTTGCTTTAGTAGGATACTTGTTGTGAAGAAAGATGCGTTCCGCAAATCTATGCTGACGAAGGATCTTATGTCCCTCAGTTCCAACTCTGCCCAGTGGTCAACCCCTGTGGTCAAACCATAGCTAGCTCCTCTCCCACGGGCATTCACCCGAATCATGGTC